ATTGGCATGCATGCGCCCTAACTCCACACCCACACACACACACACACACACACACACACACACACACACAATTTGCTTACAAAGGATGTGCTAAAACCACACCCAGCTGGACCCGCAGCGAGGGCTCTCACCAAACTATTCAATCTTCCCATCACACAGATTAAGTTAAAATCTAGTGTATCAATCTAAAACTTGAGGTACAGTAAGGCCAATAGATCAGATGACTGCCACTGAAAAAATATTACAGTTTCAATGAGGAGGGGGCACACCACTACATAGGGAAGCATGGGGCAGCACTGAGGTCTGTAAAGATGGAGAGGAATTGGGAGGGAGGGGATTGTGGGCAAGAGCCTTTATTGTGGTTTCTTGCAGGAACTAGGTGAGGCAGGCTAAAGATTGGCTACTTTGAATTTTGGGTGGTGGGTATAGGGGCTGTCGTTATTGGTCAGGCACTTGGCTGTGCGGTGATTAGGGTAGGTTTAGTGACCCAGAGTGTGAGAGCTTCATAAAGGAGGTGATTGGGGGTGTGGACTCTGGATTGGTTGTTTGTATTTGAAAAGTGCACACCTGGGAAAAGGAATCCACCTGGGGGAGAGGGGGCAGGGGAGGGAGCCACGAGGTCAAGCCAAAGTAATTTAGGCATATTATCCAGTTGTTCAGAACAAGGTTTGTCTGGCTTATGCATATAGGGCAGATGTTAAAACACCAAGTTTACAGAAGGTAAAAACATAGTTAATACACAGGCACAGGCTGAAAGTAAGAGGGTGATTGGAATTAACCATGGTTTTGGTTTTGTAGCAAGTACAGTGAAATAAAAGAAAGGAAATGGGGGGTGAGAATTTAAGTAAAGAGTGATTATAATAATTAACCTTAAGCTCAAGAGGGAAGAGATGGCATGAAAGGGGCAGGTAAGGGAGTAAAACATGGTAGAATCAAGGGCTTGAAGGTCATAATAGGGTTGAAGAATAGCTGAAGTTGGAGGTTAAGCCTGGCTGGTTAGCTCAGTTGATTAGAGTGTGGTGTTATAACAGCAGTGCCAAGAATTCAGATCCCTATGCCAGACAGCTGCCAAAAACCAAAACCAAACAAACAAACAAAAAACCCAGGAGACAGAGTGTACAAACTGGAAAAATAGGAAGTGGGGTTGACCTTGCTAAAGACAAGATCAGGTATATGACCATGGGAGTAAGTAGCTGAAGTAGCAATGTGGGTAAGATCTTTTATGTGAGAAGATTTCAAGGAGCTAAGATGTCAAGCTATTAGAAGGATTACCTTCATGAATATTGAAATACTGTACTCAAGAATTAGGGCTGGCCAGTTGCTTTTGCTCAGTTGGTCAGAGTGTGGTGTTGATAACACCAAGGTCCAGGGTTTGATCCCTGTCACCAGCCAGCCCCCTCCTCCCCCAGAAAAAATCCAGGAGTAGTATTTGAGAGAGAGCCAGTAATTTGGAATATAAAGTCTTCAGAGGATAGGAGAAGGGAGATGGTACTGACTACAACTGCCATAAGGAAGTGGAATATACGTGGTCATTGAAACCATGGATTTTGGTAAATTTACTCAGGAATACTTTATATAGTGAGAAAATAGAGAACAGGTTTGAGCCTAACTGTAGTCTGCAAAAGAGGAACTTAGAGGAAAAATAGGATGGTAGGACTGGATTTTGTAAAGATAGTAGGGCAAAAGATCAAGGAGAAAAAAAATAAGAGAGTTGAAGGTAATGGCAAAAGAATGATTCAATTGATGAATTCTAGGTTCTGGATTTAGTAGAGAAAGAAGAAAAATCTAAAATAGGTACTGACTAATTGGTAGAAAACTGGAAGGGTTAGGTGAGTAGAGATCTGAGGAGGTTGAATAGGAGACAGAGATATCACAGAAACAAGTTTGAGAAGTTGATTTTAAGAAGGGGAAATGGTCAGCTGTCAGATGCTAAAAAGATAAGTACTGAAAAGAGTCACTTGGATTCAACAATTTGAAGGATTAGGTGCTTTTAATAAAAGTAGTCTATGCAGTAGGAGAGGGAGAGGGTAGAGCTAGACTGCAATGAATTTTGTAACAAATAAGTGGAGTAGGGAAGTAAACAGTATTATTGACTAGTACTTTAAGAAGTTGAACTGTGAAAGGAAGGAGAGACAAAGTAATAGGTAGAGGAAGACATAGCAAAAGGAAGGATTTTGAAGTTGAGGGCATGACTGGAGCATAATTATATGCTCACGGGAAAAAGACAGAAGGAAATAAGATTTAGGAGACCTGGTATCATTCATGGAGAAGAGTCCCCAAGAAAGCTGTAAGAGACAGGTTTCAGAGAACAGATAAAACATGAGTCTTAGATAAGAATGGCAACCCTTGTTTACTGAAAGAGGAAAAAAAGGATGAGGATGGATTGAGATGAGTTTGTAGGAGACAGAAAAAGCATTTAAAGAAAGTGGAAAAATAATTTGAAGGAGTATACTTTTATTTTCTTAGACTTGTTGGGGATAAAATCCTTTAGAGACTTAAGGAAGGAGGATAAGGTAGGATATGTAAGAATGTAAATTGGAAATAGTGCAGAAATGAAATTCTAAACTCACGTTTAGAAAAAATAAAAAATAGGGCCAGCCCGGTGGCGCACTGGATAGTGCGCCGCTTGGGAAGCGCGCGGCGCTCCCGCCCGAGGGTTCGGATCCCACATACAGACCGGTTCCCGCTCACTGGCTGAGCGAGGCGCGGGAGCAACACCGAGG